TCACCAGCACGGCTTGCAACAGCTGTGTCAGGGTGATTTTCATCTATAAAGGTTTGCAGTTCAACCCACTGTGCACACATTTCCTTAATCTTTGAAGTAGGCACAATGGATTCCACAACTGGCATAGGCTTCTCAGGGTTAGCCCCAAACCCTTCAAAATCTTTTTTAATTTCCATACTAATTCTCACCCTTTTTACCACAGGGTTGGCACTAGAAGCTTTCTTGGGGCCCATGGTCACTTATTTTCCAGAAACAGCACCGAAAACACTGTAATAATACGAAATATTCCGAGTGTATGCTTGGATGTTACCGCGGAGGCTGGCTGGTAAACAATGGGACGGCCGGCACATGTGAGGGCACATTGGACGCGTCTCGGACGAAAATCGGTAAGCGGGTTTTTAATCGGTATGCGCGGCAAAAATTTTGCGATAAAAGTAATCGGTATGCGGAAAAATCGCTATGTGATGCCATCGTTATGCGGGGGTCCACTGTGGAAATTTATTTGGTCCCTAAAGTTTCACAGGACAGATACCGCATACAAAGGGGGTCCCAGAATGGCTGTAATGGAACGGCTGAGCTGGGTGGCCCTTAAACCCACCCAAACAAAAAATGTTCTCCCCAAGTTGGCGTGGTTGGTAAGCACTATTTAAGTTATAGATTTACCCTTCAGGGAAGGAGTAGGTAGTTTTACTGGTAGTACACTAATATTAGGTTTACTAAGGCAACTGTAGATAATAATTAAATAGACCTAAGACCTTAACATAGGTAGTAATAGGCCAATAATGTAGGCAAACACTAGGTTAAGTTAGCTAGGGAGAACTGGCAGCCCTAGCTTAAAGGATGAGGCGCGGGTCTGGAAGACACGAGCTCTCCCTTCTATGACCATACACCACCTGGACAAGACGTGCCGTGATCAGCAGACGGCGCCCCCCACGTGTCTTCACATATGAGACCTGGGGAAATCTGGTAGAGGCACCTCGATGTACCATAGATGACCTCCTCTGTCAGGCCCATACAGTAAGACAAGACCTCCACCTTTTCCGTAGGATTTCTGGCCAGTGTCTGGGGAAATTTGTGAGTGAGTTGATCTGTGGGCCTGTATGTAGCTGGCAGTGCATGCCCAGTATGTATCAGTGTCTCTTGTCTATCTAGAAGCTAGTGTCCATGTCTGCATAGTTGTACTAGGGGATACACACCCCCTTGGATATAGGAATTTCTGAGGTGCAGGCAGGTCACTAATATCGATTGAATATTGCAGGAATTAAGGCTCCCGGTTGCATGTGGTTTCTGAGGGGAAGTCCAAAGGGGCTAAGGCTAAGCTTAGGGAAGTTGAAGATCAGGATATATGCTGCAACACCAAGTAAGTTAGTCCTTTATACGTGCATGCAGGCGAGTTTCTTGCAACGTCAATCATTTGTGAAAATCTGTCCTATAAGCCACTTGTGAGGCTGAGGTACCAACCTCAGAGCTCGGTGTCAACAGAGTTTGCCAGGGTAGGCGACTCACTTGGAGGCAGTCCAGACAAATTTTCACAGGTTGCATTCCAGGATTATGTGAATTAGAGTAAGAGTAGGTTGTAGGAAGTGGGTTATAGTAAGTGTTTATGAACCTAGGAGAGAGAGAGAGAGAGAGAGAGAGAGAGAGAGAGAGATAGAGAGATAGAGAGATAGAGAGATAGAGAGATAGAGAGATAGAGAGATAGAGAGATAGAGAGATAGAGAGATAGAGATAGAGATATTGAGATATTGAGATATTTTGGGAATGTCATGCAAAAATGTTATTATACAGTTAAAAGTAGAATATTCTTTAAATTGGTACACACATCTTATGTGATGATGGTGCGTGTTGTGACGCTTTCCTCTGACCAAGATGCTATCATACAAGACTTTAAAATAGATGCTGTTTATCTAGGACTTAAACTTGGAGAGCAAAAACAGGATGTTTACTTGAAGTCTGTTTCCTGGGCCATGTGACATCCTGCTTCCTCATCGCTACGTCAGCGAATTATCCAGTTCATGAACCCATTGTTCAACTCTGTAAATATATAGTTTTTTTTTAATAATGTAATAGGTGTAGTTATAAGCCTAATTTTTAAAGGGGCAGAGAGATAAGCCAGCAGAAGGCTTCGGTCAGATGACCAAAAGCTCCAGTGGTGGGTCATCATATGACTAAGACTCGCATCAGGAAACACTTGTCCTGTTCCTTATATACCTAACCTAACCTATATAGTTTAAATGTCTCTGCAGAGGAGACAGTTTATGAGACATGGTTGTTAGCACGCTTGTTTCACTTATAACTATATTTCTTCACTTTGGACAGGTAGTTTACTTTAATCTCCCTTTCAAGGATTGAATTATTCTTGGCTAATAGTGAATAGGAGACATGCAGCATTAATAATCATCCTCATGCACCTACCAACATAGCAGTCGGTGGTGTATGCATGTCAGAACTACCTGTGATGTGCTGACGCGCATCATAGGTGATGCTGATGCGTATTGTGGAAAATTCTTTACAATTTAACTAAATTCAGCATGTGTAAATGTGGATATAATAATTGTGTATAAAAATGTGATGCTGATTTGACCCTTCAAGAAATTTTGTGTGAAGAAGGGTATGCAGCGTCTGCGGAGTGATACGGGGACGAGGACGCCATAGTTAATTTAATGTGTGAGCACTGGTTGTGGTGTAATCATCTAATAATCCGGTGTCATCAAGGTCATAAATGGGTGTTCCTGCCTAGATTTATATTGGGAATCTATTTAATGTCCCCCACTGAAAAATATGGACATGAAATTTACAAAACCTCCATACGTATTAGGTGGTAATAGTGGAAATGAAATGTAATTACACCGTTAGTCCTTTCATTTAGATTTCTCACTGGCCAGTAGTTTCCTATTTGTTAGGTAGGCGTGGGGGTGATCCAACTACAATACAAATGATAAGTTAGTGTATAAAATTTACTTTTCTAATGATATGGTTAAGAGAAAACCTTTCCTAGTCTCTGTAAAAATATTCCCATTAACCATTTCTAACAGTCAGCTCCTAAAATCATATACAGTCCACACTATTTTATAATTTACCATTATTGGTATTAATGTTTAATTATTAATTTTATGTCAGGTCAAGCTTTTTTGTGAGATTGGTGAAGGAGTGGGCATCTAAGGAGTGATAGTCCTGTGGCCTACTGTGACTAAGTCCCTCTTACCTCACCCAAACTACTTGTAACACCTCATGCTGGTAATTTCTCACACATATCATTGGTGGCTGACAGTAAAATGCCTCATTCATATCATTTCTGTTTATATGGAGGAGGTGAATGTATTCAGATATTTAGGAGTGGACATGTCAGCAGATGGGTCTGTGAAGGATGAGGTGAATCATAGAATTGATGAAGGGAAAAGGGTGAGTGGTGCACTTAGGAGTCTGTGGAGACAAAGAACTTAGTCCATGAAATTATTATTATTATTATAATCAAAAAGAAGCGCTAAGCCACAAGGACTATACAGTTAGTCCATGAAAGCAAAGAGGGGAATGTATGAGAGCATAGTTGTACCAACACTCTTGTATGGGTGTGAAGCATGGGTGATGAATATTGCAGCGAGGAGAAGGCTGGAGGCAGTGGAGATGTCATGTCTGAGCACAATGTGTGGTGTGAATATAATGCAGAGAATTCGTAGTTTGGAAATTAGGAGGAGGTGTGGGATTACCAAAACTATTATCCAGAGGGCTGACGAGGGGTTGTTGAGGTGGTTCGGAGATGTAGAGAGAACAGAACAAAACAAAATGACTTCGAGATGTATAAATCTGTAGTGGAGGGAAGGCGGGGTAGGGGTCGGCCTAGGGTTGGAGGAAGGGGAGGTAAGGGAGGTTTTGTGTGCGAGGGCTTGGACTTCCAGCAAGCACGCGTGAGAGTATTTGATAGTAGTGAATGGAGACAAATCGTTTTTAATATTTGACGTGTTGTTAGAGTGTGAGCAAAGTAACATTCATGAAGGGATTCAGGGAAACCGGCAGGCCGGACTTGAGTCCTGGAGATGGGAAGTACAGTGCCTGCACTCTGAAGGAGGGGTGTTAATGTTGCAGTTTTATAACTGTAGTGTTAAGCACCCCTCTGGCAAGAGTGATGGAGTGAATGATGATGCAAGTTTTTCTTTTTAAGGCCACCCTGCCTATATATACATACCCCTCTGGGTTTTCTATTTTCTTTCTAGTTCTTGTTCTTGTCTATTTTCTCTTATCTCCATGGGGAAGTGGAACAGAATTCTTCCTCCGTAAGCCATGCATGTTGTAAGAGGCAACTAAAATGCCGGGAGCAAGGGGCTAGTAACCCCTTCTCCTGTATATACTACTAAATTTAAAAGGCAAAACTTTCGTTTTTCCTTTTGGGCCACCCTGCCTCAGTGGGATATGGTTGGTGTGTTGAAAGAAAGAATATATAAATCTTTTTGAATAACCTCAATCATTCTTGGCTAATTATTAAAATCAAATTAATCGCTAAACCCAACAGGGTCATACAGTGTTGCTTATTGCAGATGAATGTTGTTATACTATAATCAAACCCAAGCACTAAACCCACTAGGGTCATACAGCTTGGTTGATCAGACCCTGATCCACCAAGAGGCCTGGTCTCAGACCGGCCGCAGGGGCGTTGACCCCGAAACCCTCTCCAAGTAAACTCCAGGTAAGTGCAAATTTGTTAATATTCTAACAGTTAAAAATACGAGAATCGTTGGGCTCTGAGTAATAACTAGAGAATGCCTCTTCTGATTGTTTTCAAACTTTTAGTGCAGAAGGTCAAAGTGCCAGTAATATCTGCATTGCTGAAGTATTGGGAACAATTCCTGCCCTTAAGTGGCACTGTTGAAGTTTTAGGAATAATTCCCACCCTTGTAAGCACTGTCCTGCTATATACTGAGGCTGGAAGTTCCCACCAGCTGAAGGGCACTGACAGGAATACCACAAGTTAACATTATTTACAGTAAAACAAGGTAATAGAAACATTCTAACAGTACAAGTTTATTAAGAAAAATTAAGAAAACAACTTGCACATACTGCTTGCTAATATTCACAGACAAGCTCACAAATGAACCATTTACACCTCTCATTCAAAGCCATGAAATGATGGTAATAATCCTGGATAAAAAAATATGTTCAGTCAAAGTCAAAAAGGAAATATTAACCAGCTATGCATGACCTTATATTTGATATACTAACAAACAATTTGTATAACATTCACAAGTTAATTATCTAGTAACTAACCAAATTTATGTAAAACTTCGGCTACAGACGAGCAAAACAATAAATTACAATGCTCCAATTCTGTATGTCAAATTAAAACATGGTACTCCAGATATGCAGAAAAAATTAAGCTATTTAAGTATGACACCTTTAAAAAAATTTAAGTTTTTAGCAGTGTGCTCTCACTGCAGCAAATGAAAAAAATTTCAAATTAGGTTATTAATTGCTACTCTATTCCTCACAGAGTTAAACATCGCCAACTATGAAACATGCACACAAGTTTCTTTTTAAAATGATCATGCCTTCAGAAACCTATACAAATTTTGTGAACAACTTCAAATATATATGGAGTGCGAGTGAAGGCTTTAACATTTGTTTCCCTATACAAGAGGGTAAGAGGCAGCAGTAGCAATGCCACACTGGTTATGCTTGTTTCGACTCATCTTGATGTAGCCTTCATCACCCCAAGTGGTGCCCCAAGAATTCTTGACCAGCCAGTAGTCAGTGCCGTCCTCGGTAGTGCCGTAACCCACAGCCAGGACACCGTGGTCCAGCTGCTCTGAGTTACATTCTGGTTCATCATAAACACCTGAAAAGTAAATTAAACCTAGTCAGTAATCAAAATCCTTTATTTAAATTTTATCAAAATTTAAAAACGACTTAAAATCATTTGATTTCTTACTGAAAGCTCAGAAGGGCATGTGTATTATATTGTTGAAGTTCCGTGAAGATTGCCTTAAAAAAAATCATGACACTTATGATACGTTTAGGTAAGTGAGAATACCAAGAACTGAATAACAATTCAAATAAAAAAAAGTCACAGTTCAATTATGTTCCCAAACTATAACCTAATAAAATCTTACAAGTGCAGTCATTATACTGAAATTCCAAAACTGAATTTTTATGAAAATTTTCTAGCTAATTTCCAAATTTCTTCGAAGAGTACATTAACTAACAAATTAGTTTTTGAAGATTTTAGATGACAATGACAACTTAGATATTGGTCTATGGTTATTTACATCAGTTGAATGTTGAGACACTAGCTTAAGCATATAAAGTAAAAATCGAAGTTAGTACAGGGTGCAAAAACATGAAAACTTACCATGACTGTAAAACTGGAATGAACTATGTGAAGCATCAATGGCAACAGAAACAGGTCCAACAGTAGCAACAGCTTTCTTCAAAGCCCCTTCACTTCCCTCACGAATATCAACAAAGCCAGTGTCTTCAGCACCAGACTTGCGTGGGTTATACCGACATTTGTCATCCTGGTGAAGTAACAATACTCTCACTACACTGATAATAATAATAATAATAATAATAATATAAATTATAATAAATATCCATGGGGTAGTACTAAACTCAGGTTATTTTGAAATCTTTGTAATACAAATGAATAAATTTCAGATAGTAAATATATTAAGTGCGAGTAGTGAAAAAATTTAGTCAACTTTATGAATACCTTCACCATGGTATAAATTTCAGAAAACAGCTACCACTTTAACTTTATCATCCCAGTGTAACAAGTCTCCGTAAATCTGATTGCATTATATTAGCTAAATCTTTCACTACTGACAACCATTATATCACAAATATTTTGTACGGAGATATCTGCTGCTTACCTCAGCTTCATATGGGTATGCTCCTTCGGTGTCAATTCCACCATTTTCCTTAATGTACTGGAAGGCATAGTCCATAAGTCCACCATTGCAGCCATTATTGCCATACTTGGTAGAACAGTCAATCAGGTTCTGCTCAGAGAGGCTCACCAGTTTACCAGTCTGGCGGAAGTGTTGACCTTCCAGTGATCCAGTCTGTATGACAAATAAACATTACGACAATTTTCTAACAATGGAGATAATAAAGTATCTATACTATATAAAGGGGTTTGCCGTAATTACAGCATTTAAATTATAAGAGGTCCCACAATAATTTATAAGAATTATAACTGAGCAATTCTTAAATAATTACTGATAAAAATACTGAGGAACAGACTAACAAGATGTATACACTACCTCACTTTGCAATCCTGTTAAGACCGAAAATGATGCCTTTTTAAAACACGTGAATATTGTAGTGATAATGCAGGTATTAATGACAATAATGCTCCAACGATGGAAAAATACATAGATCAAAATTACAATTTGGAAAAAGCAATAATTTTATCTATATAGCTGTTAAGTTCCAGGTTAACGCCGTAAAGCCGAAATTGCTGTAAAGTGGAATGCCCTTTTTTCCAGTTATAAATGCATATAAATGCCAGATAAGTATACACTAATATTAAGTTAGCAACACAACTAGGCATTAAAAAACAATAAAAAGTAAAATACACATATAGTACACTCATTACTTACCTTCAAATATATGAAGCCTTAATGTAGGTTGAGAGGTGAGTATTTATTGTAAAAGTCAGGTGTGGTAGCGCCAACATCAACTCCCACACCTACACGAAATACAGTGGAACCTTGGTATGTGACCTAAATTCATTCCAAAAGGATGCTCGAGTGCCGCTCCGTTCGAGTATCAAACAAGTTCTTCCCAACCAATTTTCTGTTTGGTTGGCTGTTATCACTAATTGTCATAGACCCCATGGTGACTTATTTGTACAAATACAAAAAAAACACTAAAAAATGAAAAGAAACACGAAATAATTTACATAGAAGTTTTGGCAGGTAGTATTTGTTTGGTCGAGTGCTGAGCTTTGTTCGAGTAGGGAGCTGGTCATATGCCGAGGTTCCACCATATACAACTTTAAATTTAAAGCAACCCAGAGTGATGCTCTGAGTAAAGGCATATGAAAGGAATAATTTTCTATGGTTACCCACAGTAATACTATTGTGTACACATTTTCTCTGGTTTGATACCCTCATCACCTTACTCTTATCTATGCTCAATGTCAAATTTCTTCCTTTACGCATCCTTCCAAACTTGTCCACTAACTTTTGCAACTTTTCTTTAGATCTCCCAAAAGCACAGTATCATCAGCAATAAGTAACTGTCTACCTCCACTTAGCATTTGATTCCCCATAATTTAAATCTACCCCTCTCCCCAACACCCTAGCATTTTCCTCTTCTACAACCCCATCTATAAATATGTTAAACAACTAGAAATATACAAATGATTAATATAGGAAGGCAAGTAACAAATGCCAGTTTACCAACTTAAGGTACAGCAAAGTGCATCATCATACTTAGTAGCCATTAATTTTCATACTAACACTTTGTATATTTAATACTGTGCTTACAATTAATAATGAAATGTAAACAAGTACAATAATACTCACAGCTGAGAATGACCAACAGGAGCCACATTGACCCTGGTCCTTGACTGGTGTCACAGCTCCTTTATCCCTCCAGTCAACACTCTGTGGCAGGATAACATCATCATCTGGCTCAATGAATGTTGCACCAGTGTAGAGGCGGCCAGACCTGTAGTTGCCTGTGTGGTTCCACTGGAAGCCATTCATTGTCGACACAAATTCATGAGGAAGCTGAAAGAAAATATTACACTGCATAAATTACAAAGTAAAGTAAAAGGACACAAGTGCAACTAATGTGACATTTTATTGTGGCAACGTTTCGCTCTCCAGGAACTTTGTCAAGCCGTTACAAACAGTACGTGGACACAGAGGGTATATATAGGCTCAGAGTGAGGTGAAATACTAGTGGTGGTAGTAGTAATAATACAATATGTTAGAACAATTAACTTGCACATGTGCAAGTTAATTTCGTTCATACAAGTTAATCTCGTTCATACCTCTCCTCCCTCTACAGATGTTCCTGGTGTCTACTCTATTTCTTGCACCTCCTGTCCTCTTCAATACTTTGGAGAAACTGACTGATCTCTTTCTGACAGACTTAGGGAGCACAAAAATAGTGTTAAGCTTGCCGATACTAACAATGCTCTGTTCTGTCACGTCAGAGATCACAGCCATCCTATTGACTGGTCTTCTGCTAAAACTGTCTTCCCTACTTCCAACTCTAACAGTCGCCGTCTAGTTGAAGCCTCTTTAATACACAACTTTCCTTGTATGAATCTTAGTCCTGGCTTCGTCTCTGTAGATGCCTTCCTCTCCCACTACATTGTAAAATGCTCCAAACTTCAGAACACCCATGACTTAACCTGATTCCTCATTTTTTCGTTTTCCTTCTTCTCCCTCTTCCCCTTTCCTCTTTCCTTCTTTTTTCTCCTCTGGGTTGTCTTTCTTTCTTCTGTCTCGTGTTTCTGTTCCTTCATTATTTATTTCGTCACTTCCCCTTCCCCCCACCTCTGTGCACTTGCTCTCCCTCTATGGGCACCTAGTTCCCTTGCAGTGCTTCCCTTTCTTTGTATTTGACTGGCTCCTCCTCCTTAATTCCCCACTACTACCACTACCACCACCACCACTACTACTACTGCTTCTACTACTGCTTCTACTACTACTACTACTACTACTACTACTACTACTACTACTACTACTACTACTACCCCACCACTACCTCTTCCTGCCCTTATATACCCGTCCTGCTCCAATTCTGGTTAGTGTGACTTTGTAAATGGCCCAAGTCGGACTGAAACGTCGTCGTAAGCTCCTCTCTTCTATGTGCGGGTTATTTGTGTATCCTGAGTTACATAAGCATTGTAATTTCTGTGTCCATAACACTGCCTTCAAGACCACTGTAATACATATAATTTAAATTTACAAGAAAATCTAATATTACAATTGTCTTGAAGTGTAAAAACTCATCAAAATAAAGAAACAAGTCACACTGCTGGGCTATATTGGGTTACTCTAGGTTGAATCTACATATTGTGCTTTTTGGCTAAATTCCACACTATCACAAAATTGTAATAAATCTGGAATGATTAAGTCACCCTTTTTGCCAGTCTATATTTATGCTAGTTAGGCAGTGTTACCCCATCATGCACTGCACAGACCCATCTAGTTTTAGATTTTTCAACGTGTCATATTCAGAACAGCAAACTCACAAGGAAGTAAAGAGTAGGACCATGAGCAAGGGAGCAGCAATGACCAGTTTTTTTTTTTTTCCAAGTCAGGTAGGGAACAATTCTCATATACAGACATTCGCAATTTTTTATTGTGCTCTGATTTTGGCTGTGGCTTGGTAGGCAAAGCTCTTGTTTCACATGTTGAGGGTCCGGGTTCGACTCCTGGCGAGGGTGGAAACACCTGGTGTTTCCTTACACTGGTTGTCCTTGTTCACCCATCAGTAAAATGGGTACCTGGGTGTTAGTGGACTGGTGTGGGTCGCATTCTGGGACAAAATTGACCTAATTTGCCCGAAATGCTCAGCATAACAAGCGGCTTTCTATATAGTAGTATGTCATTGATGTCAGCTATGGTCTGTATACCTTGTACACGTACTTGTAGAAATAAAGATATTGTTGTTAGTTTAGATCATTAACCCTTTCATCGTCCAGAGCCCCAACCTGAAAATCTTCACACTATCCAGAAATTTAAAAAAAAAATTCTTTGTTTTTTCTTATGAAATGGTAGAGAATCTTTTTTTCTGCAGGTAATAAAACAAAAAGCACAAAAGCTGATGGAAAACAGACGAAATTATGCTTTGGCGAGTTTTGCAATGTTAGCAATATTTACGCATCGGTGATTTTGCTCACCGAGTTCTATTTTAGGCCAATTACATTGATCCAATTGACACATCAACTGCTTGTATTGATCCAGTTGATCAAACTGACCCATCAACTGCTCACATTTGGAAAAACTCACACGTGGATGCACTCGCAAGTAGAGGTTCCACTGTATTTGTGCAACCAACAAGATTTGTGTCAACCCCAGGGATGTGAAGGTAGTGGAAAAAGAACCATGGTTCAACCATCAATGAGAGGAACAAAACCCAAAAGTGATAATTATCTGTGAAGTGCTAAACCCACGAAGGCCATTCAGTACAGTGGTCGAGATTATCCTCCATTCACCAAAACTTGAGAGACATTCTACTTCTGCAGCCAGGCTTCAAAGTGGCAGTAAACAAGGAAGCTAGTTGAAGAGCCAGATATGAGGTTTATTTGTTTGTTTATTGGGTTTATTAGGGCCAGTGACAGCTTAAGGTATATCAAGCCCAACTTCTCAATGTTTATAATTTGCTGTAGAAACATCGAATTACAATGGGATTTTCACCAAAATGTCGCCATATTCTTAAACTATTTTTCTGTAAACAAAACTTATTTTCCATATTTCTCAATTTATTTTCTTTTCCATGTGCTGCATAAGGTCACCTGTCCCTGAATCCCTCATATGTTACCATGCTGCTCTCACTCCCTCCTTTACCTCCTCCCTCCAACTTTCCAAGGATGATCTCTACCTCTCCACAACAGATTTATACACCCTCCAAGTCATCCTATCTGGCTTGATCCTAACATCCAAACCACCTCAAAAGCCCTTCCTCGTCCCCACTGGATAATACTTTTAGTAACCCAGCACTTAATATCCAAACTACGAATTTTCTGCATAATATTCACACCACATATTACCCTCAGGCACGACATTTCCACTGCCTTAAACCACATCCTCACTGCAATGTTTAAACCCATGCTTCAAACCCATATTAAGAGTGTAGGTACCACTATACTCTCATATACAGTGGACCCCCGCATACCGCACGCATCGCATACCGTACAATCCGCATACCGCTCGCTTTTTTCGCAAAAATTTTGCCTCGCATACCGCCCAAAAACCCGCTCACCGCTCTTCGTCCGAGACGCGTCCAATGTGCGGCCTGAGCCACGCTCACATGTTCCGCCGGTGGCATTGTTTACCAGCCAGCCTCCGCGGTAACATCCAAGCATACAATCGGAACATTTCGTATTATTACAGTGTTTTTGGTGATTTTTTCTGGAAAATAAGTGACCATGGGCCCCAAGAAAGCTTCTAGTGCCAACCCTACAGCAATAAGGGTGAGAATTACTATAGAGATGAAGAAAAAGATCATTGATAAGTATGAAAGTGGAGTGCGTGTCTCTGAGCTGGCCAGGTTGTATAATAAACCCCAATCAACCATCGCTACTATTGGTGGTACAGCTGCTGCTGCTGTTGTACCACCGTCAGCTGCTGCTGCACTGTCAGCTGCTGCTGCTGTTGTACCACCGTCAGCTGCTGCTGCTGCTGTAGCACCTTCTGCTGCTGCTGTAGCATCGTCTGCTGCTGCTGTAGCATCGTCTGTTGCTGCTGCAGCATCGTCTGTTGCTGCTGTAGCATCGTCTGCTGCTGCTGTATCACTGTCAGCTGCTGCTGCTGCTGCTGCTGCTGCTGTAGCACCATTGTTGGTGTGGCTTATTGAGAATACCAAGAAACAATTAACCCCAGAGGATTTGCCACCCAGGATAACCCAAAAAAGTCAGTGTCATCGAAGACTGTCTAACTTATTTCCATTGGGGTCCTTAATCTTGTCTCCCAGGATGCAACCCACACCAGTCGACTAACACCCAGGTGAACAGGGAAAAATGCCTGGAACTAGTGCTCATATTGGTGAATTTAAAGCCAGCAAAGGTTGGTTTGAGAGATTTAAGAATCGTAGTGGCATACACAGTGTGATAAGGCCTGTTCTAGAAGAAAATGCCAAACAGGACCTACAGTACTCAGGAGGAAAAGGCACTCCCAGGACACAGTGTCTCATCAGTCATTGCTGCATCTTCAATAAAGGTAAGTGTCATTTATTCTTCATTTAGTAGAGTAATACATGCACAATATATATTGTGCATGTACTACTCTACTATTGTGCATGTATCCTTCTCTTTGTGTGTAGGAAAATGTATATTTCATGTGGTAAAATTTTTTTTTTCATACTTTTGGGTGTCTTGCACGGATTAATTTGATTTCCATTATTTCTTATGGGGAAAATTCATTCGCATACCGAACATTTCGCATAACAATCAGCCCTCTTGCACGGATTAAAGTCGCTATGCGGGGGTCCACTGTATTTCCCTTTCTGCCTCTATGGAAAATGTTCTTTGTTTACAAATAAAATTAATGCACCACCCATCTTTTTTCCAGGGCTGTGGAGTTGGCACATAAAACATTCAACTCCAACTTCTTTAATTACACATTACCAACCCCAGTAACCCGAAAATTGTTTCCTACTCCGACTCCACAGCCCTGCTTCTTTCCCTTGTCAATTCTATGGTTCACCTTGTCTTTCACAGATCTGTCTGCCAACAAGTTCACACAAATATTTGAACACAATTACTTCCTCAGTACTCTCCTCCCTCCAATTCTCTCCTATCTAGATTAAAATGTATCACTCACAGCTATCATCTACTGACCACACTGCATTGACATCAGTTGTGCTAAACCAAGCCTCTCCTTGCATGTCAAAACTTACAAGTGGCACCACCTAGAATTTATCTAGTGTTTTATTTAGCCTGGTATGACTAATTATTTTGGAGATAAGGAACATAACCCCATTTTCCCCACATAACACTCATTTTACATTAAAAGCAGTTTTCATGAACATAACTGTTTTGTGAGTCCACTAA